AGAGAGAGAGAGAGAGAGAGAGAGAGAGAGAGAGAGAGAGAGAGAGAGAGAGAGAGAGAGAGAGAGAGAGAGAGAGAGAGAGATGGTCACACACGAAGCAGCAGTAGAGTGAAGGTCCAGTCCGGCTCAATGCAAGAACGAATGAACAACTGAATGAATGAACCTCCCGCCCTGGGCCTAGGCCGAAGTGATATACCGGCCTAGGTCCAGGTGCGGAACAACCTGGTACCCGACCAGGGTCAGGCCGATGACCTGAAACTGGTCCGGTCTCACTGCCGGGCCGTAGGGGTACCGCTACAGAGGGGCTTGATCATATTGCACAGGTGCCCCCATTCCTTTTTCTTTCCTCTCTGTTTTGCGAGAACTTGGTCCCATGGCGCTTGGTGTTCAGGACGTGCCTTATCGAGCGCAGGAATAACGGATGACAGGGCTTTTTCTTTTTTCTTTTGGGAACTTGGGCAGGGAACTTCGGCGCGGTCATCTCGCTGGAAAATCCTTTTGAAATTTCTAACGCTTTGGAAAGAATGCGGGAGACTGCTCGGGCGATCAGAATTAGAACTCTAATTAGACTAGGATTATGGGGATATCATATTTCCTGTTCGTAACTGCACGGTGCACCTTACTCGCGCGTGTTTTGCTGCGCTCTATCCTGCACTCTACTCGCGCCACGCCTTAATTCTATCTCAACTGTAATTTTTTCTTGTTCCTTCCTCGACGAGTGCGGGTGTAACTGTAATCTTCTCGCTCTTGGCTTCTCTTTGCGCCGAAACATGCAGCTTCTTTCCCTCCGTCTCATTGGCGAAAGCGTTGCATGGTTGTATCGATGTGTGGAGAGGTACGTGACACCCGCGGCCGTGGTTGCGGCCGCGGCCAGGAGGCCCAGTTCGCGGCCCCTTTTTTTGGATATTGTTTTGGAGGGAAAAAAATACGTGAAAAAATAAATAAAAATATGGGGTTGTAGGGTTTGCAAAATCCTACAAACCCATAGTTGTTTTTTTGACTTTGACTTCATTACGAATTAAAAAAAAATAAAAAACAAAAATCGGTTAAAAAGAAAAAATTGAAAATAAATAAACGAAAAGCAAGTTTTTTTCCCAATTTTTTTCATTACTGATATGGAGTTAGAGTCCTAAATATTTTGAACAGGTAATTTTTTTTTTTCTTCGTCGTCGTCTTCTTCTTCTTCATCGCTGTTTTTTTTTTTTCCTTTCTTCATTTTCTTCTTCGCTGTTTTCTTCTTCTTCTTCTTCTTCTTCTTTCCTGTTTTTTTTTTACTTTTTATTTTTCTTCTTCTTCTTCCTTGCTGTTTTTTTTTTCCTGCATCTTCTTCTTCTTTTTCTTCTTCTCCTCCTACTTCTTCTTCTTCTTCTTCGGGCAATTCAGGGGTTGTGGTCAGACACAGACACAGCCACAGACACACACACAGA